CTCTCGGCGGGCCCGCCCAGGCGAGCGCGCGGGACGACGACGGCGACTGCGCCGGTGGGCCGAGCGTCCTCCGAGGGGCCCAGGGAGGCGCAAACACGGATACACACTTTCCAGAAGTCGCCATGTCAGGGAAAGAAGCAACGGCAGAAACATAATGAAACCAGAAAACAAGAAAACCCAATGATAATCTTTTCAGGGCTGTAGGGCTAATAGAGCTACAGGGCTATATATGGGCTCTTGGGCGCTATATGGGCTATATGGCTATATAGCTATATGGGTTATAGGGCGATAGGGATATAGGGCGATAGGGATATAGGGCTATAAGGCTATATAGGGCTACAAGGCACCGGGCACCCGGGCACCCGGGCCCGGCCACCGAATCGGCGGCGCACCTCACCTATCCTTAAATCCGCTAGGACCCCTACAGAGGCAAGCTCTGACTGGGGAAACTTTTGGCGCTCCGCGCGGATTTCCTGGATCTGTGCTTGACCCCCCTCCCTGTCGCGCGGAGCGCGCCAGGGGCGGCGCCAGGGGCGGCGCCAGAGGCGCCGCCGGTGGGGGGCCCAGCGCGGATCCAAGAAATCCGCGCGGAGCGCCAAACGTTTGTGTTTACGCCGTGTTTCCTTCTTCGAAATACTATCCAATGTTTTCTTGGACTGTCGCCTTCTCCTCCACTTCCCACAGCATCAGCGTGTGCTTGTGTCTGTGCCTTGCCTTTCACTCCCGAACCCCTCGGCCCCCGGCCGGAGTTTGTAGAAGGCTTGCCGACCTCGGCTGTCCCTCGACTCTCGCCTGGTCGCCCACGATCTGCTCCAGATGCGTGGGCTTCCCTGGAGAGCTCTGTGCTTACCTCGATCTCTCTGGAGATGTCTGAATTCACCTGGATGTGCCTCGATCTTTGTGGGCCCCGGAAACGGCAGGGCCGTTTTTCACCGTTTCCACAAAAATGTCCCTTGAAAATGGAAACGGCAAAAAAACGGCGACTGGAAACAGCAAAAAAACGGCTCCAGGATTGCAACCGGAGCCGGAACCGGTAAAAAAACGGCGACGGAACCGGTAACAAAAACGGCGTCGGAACCGGCAACAACACGGCAAAACGGAACCGGTTAAAAAACGGCCCTGTCGTTTCCGGGGCCCACGAAGGCCTCGATCCCCCTGGCTTGACCCCCGTAGGTCCACTGGCAAGAGAAGTCGTCGTGCCCTCTGGGGAGAGGCGCCCTCGGCGCGCGGCCCGCCGGTCGTTGCTCGCGGTGCGACAGGTGGCGGCCCGCGTGCTTGGAGACAGGAAACAGTTTTTTTGTCTTGTTTTTTGTTATTATTAGTCTTTTCTTTTATTTTTTAAAAACAACAAGCACACACATACCTACCTACCTACCTACCTACCTACCTACCTACCTACCTACCTACCTACCTACCTACCTACCTACCTACCTACCTACCTACCTACATACATACATACATACATACATACACATATATATATATATATATATATATATATATACATATATAATATATATATATGTATAAAATCACTGTGGCGAAGAGTTCCTTTCACCATCAGCCAGATCTCTGGCCGGAGGCGTCCAGGAGGAGAAGGAGGAGGAGGACGAGGAGAAGGAGCAGGAGGAGCAGGAGGAGGAGGAGGCGGAGGCGGAGGAGGAGGAGGAGGAGGAGGAGGAGCAGAAGGACGACGAGGGGGAGCACGAAAAACATTAGGGTATGCTCCCCGAGCCGACCTCGGTCCTATACCTCGGTCCGACTGTATCTGAAAACCGTGTATCCACTGGCGGCTTGTCACTTCCGCCGGCTTCCGCTGGTCTTCCGCCGCCTTCCGCCAGCAGAGCCGCGCTGGCTTCATGCACTTCCCCCAGGCTTCCGCCGCACTCCGCCGACTCGCTTCCTCGGCGGCGAGGCCAACTCTGGAACGCATCGGAGAGTACGGGGTGGGATGGGGAAGGGGGCTCCCGATGATGATGATGATGATGATGATGATGATGATGATGATGATGATGATGATGATGATGATGATGTTGATGATGATGATGATGTTGATGATGATGATGATGATGATGATGATAAATGTTGATGTTGATGTTGATGATGATGATGGTGATGATGATGATGATTATGATAATGATGATGATGATGATGCTGGTGATGGTGATGATGGTGAGGATGCTGCTGCTGACGATGACGATGCTGATGATGATAAGGATGATGATGATGATGATGATGATGATGATGCTGATGATACTGATGATGTTTAGGATGCTGAGGATTATGATGATGATGCTAATGATGATGATGCTCATGATGATGATGCTCATGATGATGATGCTCATGATGATGCTACTGATGCTGATGAGGATACTGATGATCATGATGATGATGATAAGTGAGATGCTGATGATTCGGATAATGCTGATGCTGATGATGATGGTGATGCTAATGATGACGCAGATGATGATGACGAGGATGATGATGGAGACGACGCTGTTGGTGATGGTGCTGATGATGCGGATGAGGATGCTGATGATGATGATAATAATCATGCTAATGCTGATGATGAGGATAATACTGATGATGTCTATGATGATGGCGATGACGATGACGATGGTGATGCTGATGATGATGCTGTTGATGATGATGATGGTGATGCTGATGATGCTGCTGATGATGATGCTGATCCTGTTCATGATAATGCTTATGATGATGCTACTGATGCTGATGATGCTGAGGATGATGATGCTGATGATGGTGATGCTAATGATGACGTTGTTGAGGATGATGATGGGGATGATTGTGATACTGGTGATGGTGATGATGATGATGATGATGCTGATGCTGATAATGATGATACTGATGCTCATGCTGATGATACCGATGATGCTGATGCTGATGCTGATGCTGATTGTGATGAGGACGATGATGGTGGTGGTGATTCTACTGGTGGTGGTGGTGATGATGGTGATGCTGACGACGATTAGGAGGATGAGGAGGTGAACTTGGAGGATGAGGAGGAGGAGGAAGGTAACCTGGAGGAGAAGAATGCGGAGGAGCAGGAGGAGGGCGAGGAGTAGCAGGAGGAGAAGGAGGAGGAGGAGCAGGAGCTGGAGCTGGAGCAGGAGGAGGAGGAGGAGGAGGAGGAGGAGGAGGAGGGAGGAAGAGGCCGCCTCCTCCACCCTGGCGTGCGCGCCCTCACTAGGCGGGGGGGGTGTAGGAGGAGGGCTCGCGGAGGCCCCGATGCGCTGCAGCTTGCCGCGGCCGTTCTGCAAGGCCTTGCAAACTCTGAGTCGAGATTTTTTGTGGAGAGAAGGGAATTTTGGACGCCCGAAATGGGTACGGAAAGAGTTGTACAATGCTCAACAACAAATTTTGTCCAACACCAACAGCGGCCGCTGTTGGGCAGGCGGCCTTTTGTCTTCAAACAACAACGTCCGAGGCGGCGCGGACAGCAAGTCCTGTCAAAATGGACAACAACTGCTGTTGGACATCGTACCCATTCTTTCCGTACCTATTTCGATCGTCCCGAAGAATTGAGAACACTCACGAACCACCGATGGACAAACCGCGATTCCGTGGCTGCTTGCTGCTGGCGCCCACGGGCGGACAGCTCCTGCCCCCCCGACAGACGCAAGCAAGAGGAACCTTCTGTGAGAGCGCGACCCAACAATCTCACACGTACCGGCACGAACTCTGACGCAAAATGTCCCGCACATCCGAAGAAGCAAGCTCGGGGGCGTCCAAGATGAAGGGGCCCTGGGACACACAAATAAATACACACAAATAAAAAGGTTCCCCATATTTTCCCATATTTTCTGGGTTTTTGTCTTCCCGCCCACTTCCCATATTTTCCAATATTTTCTTGGGGATCGACGATTAATTGTGTCTGTGTGTTTTTTCCCTCCTGACAAGAGTGGGGCGTCCGGGATGGGGGCTCCCAAATCATGGCCCGAGGCATCTGCGCGGACGAGGGGCGGCCGGGGGACGTATTGAAAGAAGAAGAAGAAGAGGGACCATGAGATTGGGGGAGATATCGTGGCCCCGGCCATGATATCACCCCCCACCTAGGTCATCACCTCCTTCTCGGCCGCCCCCGACAGGCATTCCACACACTGCACAGAAGGTCGTCAGAAGCCGGCCTGACTTCCGGGGCTCGTGGGACTGGCGCACCGACAGGCGCCGACCGCCCTGCCGCCAGCTCGCCTTCTGCCTCTGGCGGAGAGCTCTGCAAGGCCCTTCGGGATGCCAGAACACGCGGCGGGGGCAGCACGGACTTTTCACGACAAGGAAGCAGAAGAGAAAACATCATGCACAAGCTTCCGGAGGTCCGCGCAAGTTTCTTGGGTCGGCGCTGGACACCCCTCCCTGGCGCACGGAGCGTGCCGGGGGCGGCGCCAGAGTCGCCACCAGGGGGTCAAGCGCCGATCCGAAAAATCCGCGCAGACCTCCGACGATTCCTGGGGGACCCAAAATGGCACCGCTGCCGCTGCTCCCAGGACCTCCCCTGGGGTGCGCTCTGCACAGACCTGAAGGGAATCCAGCCGTGGTGACACAGACGCGCAGCGATATCAGCATCTTTTCCTCTCGGGAGCGGCCAAGAGGGGGGTGTCCAAGAGGGGGGGGGTGCAAATCATGACCGGCGGCATGTGCGCGGCCCAGCGGGGGGGCCAGGGACGTAATGGAATAAGAAGCGGCGCCATGAAATCTGGGAAATATCATGGCCCCCGCCGTGATATCCCCCCCCCCCTAGTCATCACCCCCCTCTTTTCCGCTCCCGATCCTCTTGTGAGGTGTATGTTTACGCAAGTGTGATTCCTTCGATCGCCCGACTAAAACTCCCGACCGACATTCGCGAGCCCCTGGCCGCCGCCGCCCCCGCTCCCGGCCGCTCCAGCATCGGCCATGGTGCTGCCCTGAAAAGGGAGATGCAGCTTTTTGGAGGCCTGGAAATGGGCACCAACACCAAGACACGGGGCTGCCTCCACAGGGTGGAG